CACAACACTAAGGAGTGCAGCATCCAGTGCTGACAAAACCCACCAGTGCTTTTAACTGGCACTGAAGCTACCACATCCAGCATCCTCACAGCAGTGGATGGATGCCCACAATACAGGCTCACAGATCAACTGATCCTTTGGTAAAACAGTTTTACTTTAATGCTGTTTCTCCTGGCTTTCTGCTGAAATGCCAGAAGTGAACAGTCTTAAGTACTCTGCACCTCACTGGAAAAAAACCAAAGGCACAAGCCTTTTCACTAGGCACGAGCAGTTCAAGTTTTACACATCCATCAGTCACCAATTCCTGATGGTTAACACAGTGCTACTTACCTAACATTATTGGCTCAAATACAGAACCTCTCTCAGATCTCAAAGTAGCTTTCAAAAGAAGCTCAGCAGCATTTTTTTTTTAAATAAAGGAGGAATTTCATTTATTCTGAGATGATACCACTCAATGACAATTCCAGCCGAGGATTCCAGTTAATGGGATGTCTTATATTCCCACATGTTCTGTTTTACAGCAACCAAGGCATAACTAATTTTTATTATTTTCCTGTATAGTTTTACTCTATCCTATTCCTTCCTGAACACGTCCTAGATATTTAATACATTATAGAACTTTTCTTTGTAAGGGAATGTGCACCTGTACACACATTCACAGAAAAATAAGTCAGGGTGGTCACATATATGCTCAGCAAAAGTAATTCTATAGATAAACCTGGCATATTTTATCCTCATGAATGGAAACAATGAGATCTACCCCTAAGACAATCAGTTATTTTCAAGTTCATGATTCCACAAACAGTAAGAATTAAGTTTGTGTTTGTCCTTCTGCTTCCTACTTCTAGACTTGGGTCCCACCTACAAATACATTGGGAAGCCCTTGTTCAAGCTGAGTCACACATCAATCTACACTGAAGTGCTGGCTGGAGAGAACAAAAATTACTTAAAAACAAGACCACCAATGTCCTTATTATCTTGTCTAAGTAGCATCTTCAGGGGCTTAGAGGAAATGGATTAGGAGTCTAGTTATAAGAAATTCTGAAAAAATAAGACTGATCTAATAAGAGGATCTCACCCATTTTTAGTGTGCTTGTACACAAAATGTCTGACTCTACCAGTCACAAAATAATGGTAAAATACGCAGACTAAGTGTGCAAGAAATATCTGGAACTTTCTTTTGCTCTATATTTATGCGGCACCTAGCATAAAGGTCTAGTCCACAGCCAGGTACCAATTCCTAGAGTAATTCAGTAGCCAAATGTAAGCAGAAAAGACAAGCTATAAAAGAACACAATATCATTACTAAATTAGAAACACTGTACTCCAGTTTTCATTTCATAGTCACATTTTGGAGAGGCAAAGACCTATTTAAGACAAACTTCATGCAGTTCTAGTTCACTGCTATGGGTGGCAGCCACAATGCAAAGCATGAACAAAATCTAAGACAAGTTTCCTAGCTAGTACACACGCATTAACAAAAAGGCCTGAATGAAGTACTCTCAGATCTTCACCCAAAAATCTGCAGGGGGTGGGGGAGGGAAAGTTTTGTGGAAAGGTGAGGAGTATTTGCAAGGTTAGCAGAGCAACAACAGGTAAGATTTCACAGAACTCAAAGTGTGCACATGGTATTGTGCTTGGGAGAACTGAAGCACTGTCTTTGGCTTTTAACAGGCTGTAAGAGTCCCAGGAAGGAAGAATTTAATCTCAAGTGCAGTTCTGGTATGTGCATCTTATAACCTCAAAATTAGGGCATAAAATGGCTACGAAGACTTGCAAAGTTTTGAAAGTCTACAAGAACCAGCAGTTGAGTTCACCCACTCATCACTAGAGTCACATCCTGAAATGGGAATAACAGAGTGATTGATTTCAATTAATAATTATGTCCAAGTTTCAGGAAGCAACTAAAACTACAGGCTAAAAGAGGCCACAACATAGTGCCTCATATTTTATTTTTTTTTAAATCAAAGGCTTCTTTTCAGTGTTTTCAAGGAACTCAGGTTCACTGCTGTAGTAAAAAAGGGACCTCACTTCAAGGTTAGTACTGCTTCACTGCACTAGTCAGTCATAGTTGGCAAAAGAAAATCCTAGTAGGTGACAAAACCATGTAAAACCTTGAAATGCTCTCAGGAGCACTAGTGTGAACAATATTCAGGAAAAACATTAATCAAGTGAACAGGAGGGACAAACCCATTACTGGTGAAAATTTCTGCTTAGTTTTAGGAACTTAACAGTGCAAACCTCCTAAGACACAGGAAATCATGACTTCTCATTTTTATGGCATGACAAAAAAAGCAGAAAGAAAACAAGATCTAGCCCCAAATTAACCACTACACAGTCACAGAGAAGTTTCAACAAACCTCAAATTCTTCATCACTTTTTTTTTTAAACAGATCTCAGCACTTAGAGATAGACTTCAAGTGACTTTCAACTTTGAATTACCTCTTCACAAACTTGCTACTCTTGCTAGCACTGCAAATTCCAGATGGAAACAATTGCAGTCACTATTCTAAAAACATCCAGAATGTGAAGTCTGACACTTCCTCCTGTTACATTACTCTAAGTGATTTTTAAACCACTTTTAGCATTTAAAATAAAAATAAACTATCCTCACTGTACCAGCTTCAAGCACTTCAAGTTAACATGGCCATGCAGTTCAGCCCTTTAACACATCAGTTACAAAGGGACGGAAACCATCTAGAAAACTGAGTCAAAAGATAAATAAATTTTAAAAATTACTGTGCAATTATTTGGGAAATGAATTCATGTAAAATACAATACTGCAAGCCTGCTTTAGAGTTCTATGTTGCAACAGTTAACATTTCCTTATGCTACCTATTTTTCTCAGTGCAAATAGTCCTCCCTTATGAAGGAAGAACTGACCTCACACACAATACTCTGGACAACTTGAGAACCTCACAGGAAGGCATGCACCCAGGAGAGGGAGGGTCAGGAACACCAGAGGGAAGACCAGCAAACCTCTGTATCAGTCAAATTATCAATGGTGACAGAAAGCTTCCACCTGTCTTTAGACCCCAAAAGCTGTTTCTATTTTAGTGTAACTGAAATCTTAATTTTCCAGTGGGTCTTCTGTATTTTACACCTCATCCGAAGAGCTGCCTTGCAGCCTGCTACCTTTGATACCCTCCAGTAACAGACGTTGACTGTTTCAGCTCTGCAACTTTAGAACAATGAAATAGAGGATATTCTACTGTACAGCTTCAGAGCACCCACAAGGTAACAATGCTATTCTGCTACTGGGAAAGATGCATCAGTTTTAGAACAAGACACCCTTTTTCTCAACTAAATTTTTCAGCAAATATTCCAAATCTGCCTCATCATGTTATTTCCATTTTTGGACAACACAGGAACATAGAGGTGGAATGCTCATAATTCACTCTTGAGAGCATTTTCCCCTCACAATGAAACAAAGAGTTACTCATAATAAGCAACATTTACCCCTCACCCTACCCCTTAAACACGGTATGTTTATTTTTTTGGCTCAACTGAAAGGATCAGCACAAAAAAAAATAAAAGCTTATATGCATATATGTTGATCATTTTAGTTTTGCTGAATAATAAAATTATTTCGCCATATTCAGTACACAGCCACATAGTAGTAGAGTTCATAGTCTTATAATTTACATAACTTTTCTCTTTGTTGTTGTAGCTATGTCCTTCCAGGCTGCCTCATCATAACTGATCTGTCAAAACAGGGGTGCCAAAATGCTTTACAGAGTTTAAAAAAAAAATCTTTAATCCTAAAATAAAGAAGTTAAATACAGAAAATCCAAAAGGTGCAGACAATTTAATCAGTTTCTCAATTCCAGATAGCTCGTTCTTTACTACTGTTTAGAGGAGGCACTATTTCACCACAGATTCCGTGTGACAGCCCCTTCTCCCCAGTGTTTACTGTGAACACGCTGCAGGCAAAGCAGCCCAGTCTTCCAAGGAGGGCTGCCACATCCCCAGCTGTAAAGACAGGAACAAACTGCCCTCATGTTTGCAAAGGCACCACCCCTTTTATACTGAGGGCTCAAATTTCTAAATCAGTTTGGATTTCTAGCAGATGAGAGTGAGTACTCCAAAGGACTACACTCTCACCCAATATAAATCCAGCCAGTACATAAGCCTACAGCTAATGTTTTGTGGCTACTGAAAAAAAAACAAACCCAACAAACCAAACCAAAACACATTTTCTAGCTTTAGATAAAGAAGTCCTATATAAATAAAAATGCAACTTTAGAAGGGGTCTTCCTACTGTAATCTAATATCTGTTTGTCAGCTTTTCAGATTTGATACCAAGGTGATTATCAAATCAAATGTGATGCAACTGATACCTTAGATCTAATGACACAGCAATGTGCATCTCTTGAACTGCCCGCTTCTTAAAAAGCATTTTGTGAAATGTACCCTTCCATAAAACTTCTGTTATTTACCTTGGAATAAAACTGGAGATGCAATTACAACTATCTTTTGGGCATATTATTAACAAGAATAAAATATAAAGTTAGTTTTACCTTCTCTCATGAGCATGTTTGGCTGACCCTTTCCTAATCCCTTCATTTACTCATATTATGGAGACTGAGAAAACCTGAACCTTTTGGTGAGCTGAAACACAGTATTATCAACTGTACTGCTGAAGACAGTATTAGGTGTGAGCATGTGTGCAAACCAGACAATTTCATAACCAATCTGTAAACCAGCCTTTTCTATCCCACTGTGACTCTGAGTTTGTATACATCTATACTCAGATCAATCGTATTGAAATAATTAGCCCTGTAAGAACTCTAGTTCATTAAAGCAGATTTCCTATAAATTTGAAAGCAAAAGATAATAATATTCTGTTATTTCTGCACATGCTTATTTATAATGTTCATACTCTTTTCCCCTCTCCCCCATCATCCCTCTGCTGATTCAACAGGTCCGTCCTTTCGTCGCCTTTTCCCCCTCTCCGCCTCATCCTTTCTTTGCTGGTTCTTGGCCATCTTGGTCCTTACCTCGCTCATTTTCCCTCTTCTCATCTTCCCTGCGCCAATTCATAGCGTCCACATTCTTTCGTCGTTCTCTCTCATCCTGTCTCCACCGCTTCTTGATATCTTTGTCCTTAACTTGCTCATTTTCTCTCCTCTTCTCATCATCCCTGTGCCATTTTATTGTTTCTGCATTTTTCTGCGGCTCCACGCTTCTTTTGAGATAGTCTTGTCGCCTCCTCCTCTTTTTTAACATATCCCTTTCCCTGGCACGAGCCTGCTTTTCTTTCTGGGAAAGAAAAGCTTTACGGGGCATCATGAGCTGCTGCTGTACCTGTAATAATATCGTATCCATGGAATAATATACTATACATGCACTCAGTCAGGCACCAACAACTCTCATTTGTAGCTGAATACTTCAAATACTAAGCCAAGATAATTTACTGCCTCTTCTCTTTCCTTCATAACCCTCTCTAACTCCATATTAGATAATAACAGACAAGTTGCAATGTTCAGCTCCAGGCACACCACCGAACTGGCACCTCTGCAGTTGGTGCACACCCAACATACAATCCCGACCTAAGCATTAGGAGTTCTTCCCCCTCCCTCTTGCAACTCCTCCCACAGAGTTTTTAGTAGCTACTTGGCATTGCTTCATCCAATGGAAAGAACAGGCCCATAGGAGAGTTGTGAAGGAAACTTGTGAGTGTTCAAGCTTTCGTTTCTTCTCTTACTGGAGATCTATATTTAATGAAACGTAAAGATGCTTATTTGTATTTTCAGACCTCCATCTCTACCAAATTTGGTTCAAAGTGGCCAATTTTTTTGATTGGCTGGGAGGAAGGAGGAGAGATTAGGAGACAAACCACAATCTGAAAAACTGTATAAGCTTTGTTTCCTCGTAAAACCTGGCCAGAAGATTTAACTGCAGTTAAAGAAATATGTCCTGACTCATCTACTCAAACTTCCTCCAAGTCTGTTATGTCTTACTATTCACAAGAACAAAGGAAAAAATAATGTGACTGTTTACTTCGAGTCTCTGCAGCATTCCTGATCAGCAAGGCTTTTGGTTTTGTTTTTGGGCTAGTTTTATTGTTTTTAAAGGGGTGTCGATGAATATGACCTTTTAGCAAACTGTTTTACGTTCGGTTACTTATCTGTAGTCATCCAAGGCATTCAGGTCTTTAAATTTACTGGTGTTAATATCTGCAATTTTGAAGTAATGGAAAACAAAACAGACTGCAGAAAGAATTTATACTGTTACTACTATCCTTTAAATACTCTGTATACATTGAACAACATTTCAGAAATGTCAAGCTGCAGCTGTGGCCCAGGTTTGGGGGGTTTTTGTTTAGTTTTGAATTTTTGTTTAGAAGAAAGTTTGCAGAGGTCTAATCAAAATGAAAACTGCAGAAAGGACAAAGTTACTAGATTAGAATACTTAAGCAAAGCCTAAACCAAAATGAAACAAATGTACTTTTAAAATTTAGCTACCTTATGGAAAGCACTTGTTCCCAGCATGCAATACTCCATCTTTCTCCTACAGAAAAAGCAATGTTTCAAACCCTTATTCTAAAAGCTGTTCCTTTTCCCTGCGTAAAATACCCCCTGCACACTTAATCCCACTATACTAGTCCATTGCCTTTGTTAGGCATGTATCATGATCCCATGGTTTTCATTCCAATAATTCAACCCCAAATTTCTTAACCATAATAACACTGAAGGGGAAGGGCTGCAGCAGAGCAAAACAGCATAATAAAAAAAATGCATGCAGTTTGGTAACAAGTTAGTGCATAAAATTCAGATTATGCTAAAAATTACTTCGTTAAAAGGTACAGAATAGCTCTCTACTAGACAGTCTGGTTTTAAATATTAAATATTTCTCAGTACCAGTTATCATTAAAATCAGAAAACAATGACAATCCAGGATCAACATTATCAATGCAACCCACACACTGTAGATCTTTAAAATAGTTTTAATTTCTCTATCAGCTGTTTGCCAATTCGACATTACTGTTGTTTACTAGAGCAAGCTTAACTTATAAACTTTTAACGTACATTATAATTTTACCAGTAACCTTTTATTCCAATAACAATAGCACGAATAAAATTTAAAGTGATTCATGTTTCATGCAAATTATTCTTCCCCCTCCCCCCTGCCCAAGGCAAGTACTGACATTTAAAATCTGTCATTTTTTAAAAACCCTTTTAGGACTAATTGTTATATTTTCTTTCATTTGTGGTTTTTTTCGTTTGTTTTGTTGTTGGGATATTTTTCCACCCTTTGGCTTTATCTTTTCATTGTTGTTAACTACAGTATCCCTGCCTCCCCTCTCTTTATACATATCCCAGCCCACTTTGACAGACCAATTCAAAGACAAATGATAGAAAATATCTTACTAAAAAACATTTCAGTTGAATTTCCAAAATTAAAAATTTCAGTTGAGATTCAAGTAAGAAACGTCAGATTCCAAGGAATAACTTAAAGGGACATCCAACTTCAATTATGTATCTTTGAACTTCCACATCACAAGTCACAGTTTTTCCCCCGTTTGTTTCAGCATGAGATTACTTACTTAGGGCAGTCTGGTCAGTTCTCTCACACTAAAATAATCTTTCACTTTTGCCTCTGTTGATTTTAATAAACCAAAAGAGGAGGAAAATTTTTAAACCAGGAAACTAATATGCAGCGAAGCTGCCAGACTGACTTGAACCCTAAGTCTCCCACATCCCCAATTTTTCTAGAGTACAAGTTGGTGTTCCTTTAAGTTCAAAATGTCCAAATGTCAGAAGCAAACAGTCAGAACTATCCTTTTGACTACTTTTGCCCATACTTTGCCAAATAAAATTCTTAACTCTTCCCAATCTATTCAGTACATATTATGAGGCATTTACCTCCAAAATTAATGGTGCTTGGGCGTCTCAGACTCATTGGAAAGTTTCATGCAAAAGCCTCCAAAAATAATTCTCCTTCCAGAACGCCCACCTCAGCGATTATATTACACCTACTGTGTGAGGCCAAAGCCCGGACAGAGAAGGAGGATCATATCCTGCTGTACAAAACAAAGTGTTAAAGACAAGAGATAAGAAATGTAATAAGGGCAATCTTACATTTATAATGTACGTTTTATTGCGAATGACTCCAAAGCTAATTATAAACCACATTTACGATACCTCTACTGACAAGGAGCTACTGTAGAGTGCACTCCAGCAAGTTAACGGTGCTGCGGGAAGTTTTAGGGCGTTTGTGGCTTAAAGGACAGATTCCACTGGGTGATGCTACCTGAGGAACATTTTGGTGCTCAGATTTCAATGAAGTTACCCAATTCAGAAATCCAGCAGGATGCAGAAACAAATGCTCCTATTTTCATACAGCCTTTTGACTGAAGTGGTTAGGACCTCAGTTTACACCTCACCGGAGCCATCATTACCAGCAGCACAGCTGCACCCTGGATAGATGAGGTACACTTCATAAAATACCAAGAGCACTTCCCTGTACAGGTAATTTTTCCTAGAAGGTTCCCATACACAGTCACACCTGAAATTACAAGACTATGAGAGATCAATCAGGTGAAATGGCTGTCAGCCACAACCCTAGGGACATACATTCATTTGGGACGTATTCAGATTAGAATTTTCAGTCACAATGCTGCTAGGAGGACGAGAAGCAATGGCACGCAAATGATTATGCTGCTGTAGAAAGACTGATATCTCTTCAACTCGCATCAGTCTTGAACAGACTGGAAACACAAGACATAACATTAGTATCATGAAGTTTGGAACAACCAAATCTAAAGTAAAATTTGTTGAGTCATTTATTTCCAAGTAATAAAGGTTTTTACTGTTTAAAACTGTTAATTTTAATCTGTTGATTATTCACACAGAACATCCACGGCTTAAAGTACAGACTGATTTTCTTCAGCAAGTATGGTTTCAACAGAAGATAATAAAAGGTCCTCAGAAATTGAAAAAAAGCCAAAATTCTTAAAATAGTTCATATTGAGGCAAAACTGAATCTTGCACATGCTTTAACAATACCACTAGCCATATCTTCAAACAGGTAAGGATGATGGGTTATTTTATTTCACACCAGATTATTTTCTAACTAGAAAGTAGAATTTGCACCCTTGTATCTCTATCAGGTCAAAATTACCTCTCCTCCACTGAATCCTCATTACAGAAAGCACACTTCTGGATGAGGACCAACCAGCCTTGGGAGCAGGTCAGTGACAGTGAGTGTACCAGTCTGAAGATGCACATACAGAGCACAGGGAAGTACTTCATCCCATACTGGGCCTCCCAAAGACTGAATATCATTTCCCTGCATTGTGTTGCTGACAAGAATCACCAAGCATCTGGCATTTTTCTGACTTTCCACAATCCAAAAGTAATTTATTTTAGCCCTTATTTTGCTGGTAATTTAAGTTGAAGAAGTTTTTCGTTTACATATAACAATGCAACATAGAAGCATGTATCAGAGCTGACAGCAGCTGTATATTCCTGGACAAAAACAAACAAGATTCTCAGCTTCCTGATACTGTGCTTTTCATCTCCCTATTCCAACTGCATTTTTAAAAAGTTCTACTTTTAGTGGTTTGCCCAGCTAACTGCATTTAATAGCATGCTCTAAAAAGCCAGCCATGAAACAGATTTGCAAAGAAGGCTGTTAGTGCAATATTGAGTGAAATACCTTAAAATACAAAAAAAAGCAAGAACATTAACCTATGGTTCCCACAGCAACAGAAAGGCAGCCTCCTCTCATATGCAGGTTAAATGATGCTACATAGTATGATGGTGCGTAATATTCTATATTCACATGAGGACAATGATGGCCTGTCCCTGCAGCAAGGTGGAGGCTGGGACTCTGGGACCAAACGGTTCCAGGACAGCTGAGCAAGGAAGAGTGACAGTCGGGAAGCAGAGGGGTATCTCAGGGAAGAGCGAGCAAATCAAAAGTATCAAGAGCAGAAACATCAGGGAGAACGGAGAAGATGGAAGAACTGAAAACTACCAAAAACTTGCCTGGAAAATGTAAGAGTTGCAATTAAGCATCTCCCCTTCCTGCACTGAGTGAATGAAGAGTTTACTCCCAACACGTCTATCACTGGTTTCCACTAAGCATTTTCACTTTCTTCTACTGGACTCTTCTCTTTCCTCCTTATTGAAGCATTTCTGGCCTAGATTTCAGAGGGCTGTGCACCCTTATCTCCTGTGAAGGTAACAAGATTTGCAGTTTAACAGTGCATCTGAAATACCAGACAACTAAGGGCTCATTTTTCAGGTCCACTATAATCCTAGGATGGAGGCTGTTTTGTAACA